AGTTCCAGCAAGCATTTTGGATCTGTTTTATATTTGATTTGTGGTAACGAGAAGTCCAGAAACGTTTCAATTCAGACGGCTGAGGGCAGATCCTTCTTTCATTTATTTCATTTTCTGTATCTATTCGTGGATATGGAGCAGAGGTGCGAACAAACAAGAGAGACTCCAGAAGAAAGATAGAAAAGAAGAAACAAACAAAACTAAGAAGAAAAAAAAGAAGACGGGAGTAGAATTTTATCAGAGAGGAAAGTTGACTCCCTAAGGCTGAAATGTTGCCATGGCTCGCACCCAGGACCAGCAGTGAGCACGCGGCCAGCTTGTCCTCTGTCTACACCGCCTGCCGTGGCAGAAGTATGAGTCACTCCCACACGGAGGATCACCAGAGGGAAAGGAGGCGTCTGGTCCTTGGGTGACATTGGGGGGCAGCGTAACCAGTATCAGGAGCCACCTACTTAAAGACTTCCAGTTCTGCATGAACACAGTCTGTTCTTTAAATTGGTTGGATTTTCAGTTATTTTCAATAATACACACACACTGTGGGATACAGGATACAAAGGCAAGCAAGCACTGGCTTATTCCCAACTGGACTGACTGGTTTGCCCAGAGTTCTGTGTACTTGCTGTTTTCCTCTGGGAGATGCGCCATTTCTGGAAGCCCTTTGTGGTCTGCCTCTGCTCAGAGCTCAGATCCCTCACCTTCCCCCAAGTACTATGTCAGGACTGGATGACCTTAACGTTGATCTTATCTTTGATGGTGTGGAGAACCGGTGAAGAGGAAATGTGTGGCCAGAATAAACAGACCCCAGAGCATATTTTCTGGGCAATAGGTAGGTACAGGTGAAATGCCAAATAATTAATTCCCGCTTCTTCAACCTTTAGTTCTCAAGGTCTGAGGAGTCCCAGGAAGTGTCCTAGAGGTTCATGGTTTAAAGACAGAAAGGTGTGTCTTTCTTCTTTTTTTAAATGAATTTTAAACATGTATTCCTCTGCACATGAAAAGATTTGAGATGCTCTGTGCAATGAAATAAGAGATAATGGTGAGTGGTGATCAAATCACAAGTTCATGACTTGGTCACATGACTGGTTTATGACTCAACTGAATGTCACTCACTACCATACTGATTTGGACAGTATACAGTTTTATATCTATTATTCTTTATATATATATATATATATATATATATATATATATATATATATATATATATATGATTTTTTTCCAGAGAGGAAAGGCGATAGAAACATCGATGAGAGAGAGTCATCGATCAGCTGCCTCTTGCACATCCCCCACTGGGGATATGCCTGCAACCAAGGTACACACTCTTGACTGGAATCGAACCCGGGACCATTCATTCGGTCCGCAGGCCAACGCTCTATCCATTAAGCCAAACTGGTTTCAGCTATATCTGTTATTCTTAGTCATATGTTATTTAAATTAAACAAACAGTGGACTATTGATTAAAGAAAGCATATGAAGAATGCTGATATATTTTGACAATTCAGTATTTTAATAAACATGTGTCTGACTACATGGACCATATTAAAAAAGAAAAAGTAGCCAAAACCGGTTTGGCTCAGTGGATAGAGCATCGGTCTGTGGACTGAAGGGTCCCAGGTTTGATTCCAGTCAAGGGCATGTATATTGGCTGCAGTCACATCCCATGAGGGAGTTGTGCAGGAGGCAGCTGGTCAATGTTTCTCTCTCATCGATGTTTCTAGCTCTGTGTCCCTCTCCCTTCTTCTCTGTAAAAAATCAATAAAATATATTTTAAAAAAGAAAAAGGAAAAAAAAAAGAGTACAACTTAAACTTTGCAATTGAATGAAACTATTGATAATCTATTCATTTTCATACATGATCCACAATGCCTTGCTCCAATTCTAAATTCCAAATACATTTCTAATGAAAAATTTCTTCCTGTATTATGTATCAGCAAAATTTACCTGAACTAACAAGCTACCTTTGTCTTTCTCGAACCTAGTGTGACTCTTCACATATTTTGCCACAGATGTATTCGCATGTTTCATGGCCAGAGGTGGCCCAGACCTCTTGGTATGTACATATTGAGTAATGTCTGTACCTTACTATCCTGCTGAAATCCAAACACTTGTGGATTCCAAAATACTACTGGCCCTTAAGGTTTTCAACAAGGGCTTGGGTCCCTGTGTGCAAAACATTTCTGACATCTTACGTGCATAATAGTTAATATTTGTTCAGAAATGCTTCTTTAGCCAAAACCGGTTTGGTTCAATGGATAGAGCGTCGGCTTGGGGACTGAAGGGCCCCGGGTTCGATTCTGGTCAAGGGCATGTACCTTGGTTGCGGGCATATCCCCAGTAGGGGGTGTGCAAGAGGCAGCTGATTGATGACTCTCTCTCATTGATGTTTCTAACTTTCTCTCTCTCTCCCTTCCTCTCTGTACAAAAATCAATAAAATATATTTTAAAAAATTATGATAACATAAATAGCATGCTTAATTCACTCAGCAGGAAAAAAGAACAAATCATTAAAAATTGTATTAAAGTGGCTTTAATAAACCAACCTTCAATAATATATTAATTTGTAATCACCTTTTAATCTAAAGTCATGCTTTTATTCTATATTATGTAAGAAGAAATTAGTAAAAGCACCTCCCAGGGGGTTTGCTTCCTTAAGATAGTAAAAGCTTCCCTCAAATTTGATGGTGGAACAACAAATACATATCTATCAACAAGTGAACATAAAAATCAAGTGAGTTAAAAACCTGAGGAACAGAATAAACTGGTGAATATAATAGAATCAGGGGCATAGAAAGGGAGTGGATTGACAATTCTCAGGGGGAAAGGGGTATGGGGGGGAGTGCAGGAAGAGACTGGACAAAAATCGTACACCTATGGATGAGGACAGTGGGGAGAAGGTAAGGGCAGAGGGTGGGGTGGGAACCGGGGGAAGGGGAGCCATGGGGAGAAAAAGGAGAAACAACTGTAATAACTTGAATAATAAAGATTTATTAAATTAAATTAAAAAATTTTGATGGTGATCCACTGGAAGCATCCCAGACACATCCACAAAATAAAACACACACACACACACACACAATAAAACAACATGGCTGACTAACATGGCTCTGTCACACTACCTAGGGCAATAGAATATCAACCATTTTATTTTAAGTCCAACTATGGAAATGGAAGAACCTAAATGATCCTGGAATGGGGATGGTGTTTTATCCATAATGGCCAAAAAAATCCAAAGAAATGCTATTAGGATCAAAGACATCTGGATGGTCTATGAGTAAATATTTACCTGCAAAAATCAACAGAATTCCTGGATCACACATCCTGCAAGTGGACGCTCTCCGCAGCAGCCATGAAACCTAATAAATTCTGCAACGCACCCAGATCCTGGGCCTGAATAGTTGGGAGAGCCCAGAGTGCCAAGAGAGAGAACATCAGAGACCTGGGACCTGAGAAAGATGAGAGAACACTGGATGCTGGAGTCTAAGGAAGGCCAGAGAATGCTTCATCCGGGCCCAAGGAAGAACACAGGTCATGTCCCGGCAGTGACAGACTTGTTCCATTTCTTAGCGACATGGGCACCTGGGCTCCTAGTCCGCAGACTGCAGCTCACCAGCCACATGCGGCTCGTTGGCCCCTTGAGTGTGGCTCTTCCACCAAATACCACGGCCTGGGCGAGTCTATGCTGAAGAAGTGGCGTTAGAAGAAGCCTAAGTTTAAAAAATCTGGCTCTCCAAAGAAATTTCAATCGCTGTCCTGTTGACATTTGGCTCTGTGGACTGATGAGATAGCTGACCACTGTCCTAGGATTCTTTGCTTCCGAAAACTCTCTGCGCCCTTTCCCCACCAAGGCTCATCTCTGGAATCTTCTCAGCCAGAATCATGGTAATCCCGTTTGTCAAGAATTCCCTAACCTTGAAATCTAATAAGACTCCTCCTCCTCCTTATCCCCCAGGTGACATCTGGCCACCCTGCAAGAATCCTTTCAGGTGGGTTCAACCAGAACTCCCTCAACCTCCCCTAAAACGACTAGATATCTCCTCTTTATAACTTTCCACCAACAAACTGCCCCCCACCAACTCCATCCCACCCCAATCCAACTTGGTCCTTGTCAATAAACCCCCACTTGTTCTGGTTGTATTCAGAATTAAGCCAGGTTCAATAAGGCAGTCTCCTTCCCCTGCTACAATTTTAAAATATATATATTTTATTGATTTTTTTTACAGCGAGGAAGAGAGGGATAAAGTTAGAAACATCCATCAGCTGCCACTTGCACACCTCCAACCAAGGATGTGCCAGCAACAAGAATCGAACCTGGGCCCCTTAGTCCCCAGGCAGACGCACTATCCACTGAGCAAAACCAGCATCAGCTACAATTTAAAAAAAATAAAGATCTATTTTCAGCCTTGCCCAGTGTGGTTCAGAGGTTGAGCATTGACCTGTGAACCAGGACAGGACACAGCAAGCCCGGGTTGCGGGCTCCATCCCCAGTAGAGGGTGTGAAGGAGGCAGCCCAGTGATTCTCTCTCCCTCTTCCTCCCTCTCTGAAAACAACAAAAATACATATATTTTTTAAAACCTACTTTCATCAATTTAACTTCTATCCAGCTCCCGTTTATCTTGGACAAGACCCACCCTCGCCAGAGTCAGGGTCACAATGAATCCCAACCTTCTCACCAAAGCACCCTAGGCTTCCCAGGAAAATTCCCCTAAGACCTTGGGCTGAGTTTAGTCCCGCCTCCAGCACGCCACAAACCCCGCCCCTTCCGCCTCCAATTGCCGTGGACGCAACTTAGCCCCGCCCCCGCGTGCGTGCCCCTCTCCTATCGCTCCTTCAACCAGAAGACAGACGTTAGCTCCGCCCCAAGCTTCCGGCTTGCCCCTCCTCCAATCCCAGGAACTTGGTGGACCTTAGCCCCGCCCCCCACAGGCTGCTCTTCCTGTTCCCGTCCTACCCCGGAGAATTAGCCACGGCTCACTTCCGGCCCAAAGCGCCCAGTTTTCTC